CAAGGCCATGACAAGAGCAGCACAAGACCTCAAACATGAATTCAACTCACAAAGCTATTCAAACATATAGCAACAAAAGCATTCCTTGGTCATTGTTGACCCTGTTACCTGTGAGTGGTCTTGCAAACAGTCTCATGCCATGTCTTTTAATGGTCTTGACTTCAACTCTGGTTGAAGTAACGAGCTGTGCAGCTCAACTGTTCTGTACCTTCGGTTATGTAGCTGTGTCATTTTCTTGTCAGTAACTCCGTAAACTACTGTTGTGAGCCACCCTTGCAACTCCACAAGTGGAACAAGCTGGCGCCAATACCTTACACGATTCGGAACGTCGTCATGTACGACGTGGTGCGATTCAAGAACGATGTATACTTGACCGGGGGATTTGACGGTGAGATGCAACCTGGGGCTGTGACGTATGTCTGGGCGTACCGCACTGAGATGGACACATGGGAAGAGCAGGAGAGACTGAATGTTGCAAGGTGAGGTCTCATAGAGGAGTCCAAAGCAAGCCTTCTTAAATTTCACTACGGGCCCTTGTTATTCTATTGCAGGTCCTGACGAGTCCATGAGTCCTCCAAATCCACAGTTCTTTCCAAAAGCCATTCCAGATCCTCTCTATTACTCCTGAATCTTACAAGAAGCTGACACGTTGCATCCACATAAACCTGGCTGTAGCCTTTTAGGGCACAGTGGTCAGGCAGCCAAGCTTGTCTGTGCTTTATGATTTGTCTAGGAGGAGTGCTGTAACTTCATGATATGTTGCACTGAAATCAGGATGGTATGGATTAGTTGTGCACATCAGGCTTTCCCTGCCTTTTCAACTGTGAGGCGGCCCACCTCGTGGATTTTAGCGACCACCTCAGGCTTTCCTGTTGAATTTTACTCCCTCATGCTTAAAATAGACAAAGATGTAAGGAAAAGAGCAAAATCACTTAGCTTTGCTGAAACAGATCACTTTCAAATCGTTCAGAATGACAAAGAGGGACACAGAATAAAAGATTGAAAAGAAAATCTGCTGTTAATAAACTCAGTTTGAATTTCTTTTCCTTACACACAGATATCAGCATTGCTCGGCGGTACTTGGTGGGCACATCTACATTATTGGTGGCTACGATGGAAAAACCAAACTCACCAGCGTCGAAACCTACGATTCAGGCAGCAATACCTGGACATGCATTCAGCCAATGACAATCCCTGTTGCATTTGCCACTGCCGCTGCATGGAATGGAAGGCTGTTCGTGATTGGTGGAATGACCCAGGATGATCGGGTGTTCAGTGGGATTCAGTGTTACGACTTGGAGCATCAGACATGGACTGTTATCAGTACGCTTCAGGTTAACCGAAAAGGTAAGATTTTGACATAACATATTGAGGATCCCAGAAACACTGACAAACCAATCTCCAAAGAGTTATATGCATAAAGATGTATAGGGGGCATGTTCCATATTAGTTTGTAAGGAGTACTAATGATTCAACAAATCTGTAGCATATTCACATATTCATAGGGACACCGGGGGCATATATCACTATGGGCCCTCATTTAGTGCCCCATTCTGCCCTTGGGTCTAACTGTGCTCAAAGTGGATATGTGTATGCACGGGGGGCATATATCACTATGGGCCCTCATTTATTTAGTGTCTCCAGTCTGCCCTAGGGTATTTTCCGTGATCAAAATGGATATTTGTATATATACCTGTGGTGCTCAAATCTCTACGTTTGCACAGATAGTATGCAGACAGTGGTTCTTCATCCCGCTTTCATCTTTAACATGAATCTCATCTTCACATACTTCTAGGAAAAATTCAGCTCGAAGGGGTTTAGGATCCTTAATAACCATGACTGTTTGGATTTACTTCAACACTGAACCTACATGTATGTCAACCTATGTCACAGGTTGCAAGTGCGTGCTGTTGAACGATCTGATCTACCTCTTCGGAGGCGTGACAAGGGAGGTGCAAGTCTACGACCCTGCCTGCGACAAAGCCTTTAATGTAGCTTCGATGATAAGCACTCACATGTGCACTGGAGCCACAGTGCTGAATGGTAAGAATTTTCAGGATCGACAAAGATAGACTACATCGATTTAAAAGGACAAATGCCAATGGAGTTTATGGATGCTAATGGATTGAGCATGGGTAGATGTAATACTTAAGACACATCTGGAAAATCCTCATGGTCATTTCAAGCTTTAAAGGAGGCGAGCTACCCGCACATCTCTGTCTGATGAGAGGTGCAACATTCCACAAAGTGACAACCGAACCATTGGTCGTTAGGGTTAGTACACTTTCATCATTATAATAATGTTGAAATTTTACATCAGCATGATAAAACTCATTTCATTGTGATGATTGCTTGCTATGTGATGGCAGTATTCACCAGTGCTAGTCAGCCCTTGGCATGTTGCATTGAGGTATTTGGATCTTCCAAGTACCCCCCAGTATGATGGTATTATCAAAGCACTTCCACAGAGTACTGACTTTTCCTTCTGTTCTCATTTGCTCCAGAGAAAATTTACACAGCAGGTGGCGACAATCTGGAAGGCACCATTAACAACAGGTGGACAGAGTACTAACTTTTCCTTCTATTCTCACTTGCTCCAGGGAAAATCTATGTTGCAGGTGGCGACAATCTGGAAGGCACCATTAACAACAGGTGGACAGAGTACTAACTTTTCCTTCTATTCTCACTTGCTCCAGGGAAAATCTATGTTGCAGGTGGCGACAATCTTGAAAACACCGTAAACAACAAGTGGGACTCTGTGGAATGCTATGACCCGGTCACCGACGAGTGGCAAATGGTGGGCACCATGCCCCTCTCGCTCTACATGCATGGTCTGGTGACGGTCATCCGCAACTGCCTGACCATACGCACCCCACCAAATGAGATGCTGCAGCCAATTGGACCGTCCATGCTGTACAGGGGCTATGGGGAAGGCCGGGTGGATTATGACCTGAGGTAGCAGTGCAGTTTGTTGACTTTATTTGATCTTATTCCCCGAATCTGTTTTATAAATTGCAGACTATCGATTAGGATGGCGCCAGACTGTTCTTTATGATTTCCTTGCATTCCCTTTCAGTATTTTTCCAAATCTGGCTTTAAACACCAAGGTATATTTTGTGTGTTCAATCATGAATTTTGTTGATCAGAGTAGAGAGGTATCAATTTATAGTGAAATTACATTTTTTTGCTTTTACTTTCAACATTAAAAAAAGAATCAGCTCTTGATTTCAATAAGGCCAGCCCCAAGAATAAAGTCTATTCAGTTCACATCTAAAGCTAGTGTGGTTTTCTGTGACATTTTCACTGGTCCGTGTCAACATGTTCACAGCTGCAGATGACACAAAAGTCAAGTCTGTGGAGGCGACCCTGTGTTGAACTTGGCTGATGTCTTCTGCCCGTTTTGCAGCAGAGATCAATCTTTGAAGGAGGCTTCAAGTATGAAGACACCCCCCAGAGAAATCAGCATTGGTGTTGCTTTGCTAACGTAGAACTTAAAAAGGGGCTGTTTGTATTGGATCATGCTATTTAGCATCAGGGTACATCAGCAAACATCAACATGTACAAGCATTTCGATGGGTAAATAATGAGTTTAAAATATAGATGGGACTTCCAAATATAACTCAGTTTCTGCCATTTATTTCAAAGGATATTTTGAGTTGAAATTGTTGGCAAGTTTAAACATTGACTGTGCCACATGTGCAGCCCAACGTAGCAGCAGTCAATTTTCCGTACAGTGGATCATTAAAAGAAAGATGGCAGCCTCCACTCTATGTGAAAAACATGTCATTTTCCTGCAGGAAGGTGGATGTACATGTAAATGTACATTTACCCTCTTGCGTAATTAGGATAACCGAAAGTCTACTAAATCCAGTGATTCCCTTTTTTGAAGCTTTAGAACACAGTTTGACATTGTGTGGTGTTGACGCTGGTCATATCTGCTCGCACTTGCTGATGCTTACAGGAGCCAGTCTAATCTTGTCATTTCACAGTGCCCAGAGTTTCAGACCACAGTTGGCAGATACGTGTATATGTTTCTATTTACTGAAAAGTTGTGCTTGGTGCACAATTAAAGATAACTTATGGTAAAACCCTGTTGACGTGTGTTTTTAAACTATGAATCTCCAGTATTTTGTGTTTGAGATTTCCTGAGAAGATTTATAGATATTCTAATGTCAAGGCTTTTATTTATTTTGTTTGAGTATTGATTTTGCAAAGGCATTGGTGAAATATTTATTGTACATATGTAAAAGAGAGTAAATGAGAGGAAATATTGGAAGCAGAGCAGTTTTATCGTGAATTATTCTTGTTTTCTTTTTTGAGATTTTTGGGTTGAATGATGACCCGTCCGTGTATGATCCCACTGATGTAGACGCCTGCAACTTTGCAACAGCACCGCCAAAATTATGTTAAACACAGTGAATGCTGAGTTAGTGTGGTTTTTAAAAAAATGAATTGAACAAGCTGGCTTGAGTTCGTCACGGTCTCGGAGGGGACTAAAAATAAGCTTGAAAAATTTTGTAAATATTTGTTGTCGAGGTTTCTGTATGCATTATTGACCCAGCGGAGCGTGGGTCGTGTCCTCGATAATGTTTGCTTTCGGGATACACAAACACACCCCATATAATTTGTTTGGGTAGTGGCAACGATCCCGGCACTGGGCGACAGATATCTCAGAATCACCGGCGTTTTACACAGGCTTTCATGACTTCGGTACTGGAGTTGACTGAATGAGATTGGGGAAGAAAGGATGGCGCTGTTACATCTAAAAGTGCGATAGTTTGGGGGACACTGGTGAGTTCTTGCATTAAATGGAGTCGGTTACATCAGAAAAAATGACGATAACGAGAACTTTGATTCCCATGCCCCGACAACAAACAAACTGAATACCGCGGTTGGGTAACAAAAGTACACTTCATGGAACTGCAACTTATTCAGCGTAGGGGTAGTGCTTAAACTTGGTTCAGGTACTTGCTGTAGTTACAAACAACAGGGATCCTGAACCACTGCACCTGTTGAAACCTTATGCTCACTAGGGGCAGCAACCGAGCACAGACCAGGTATGAAACGCCCAACCCCTGGTAGTTTTCCCCGGTAGAAATAATGGCCCAGATACCAATCTCCAGGAGGTAGACCGGTCGGTCTGTGTTTCCTCCCCAGTGGGCCGACAAAGGAGGAACTGTTCTAGCTACATGAAATGGCTTTTATTCTTTCCTAGTGGTGAAAGAACTACATGTACACAGGAGGTGCTTGTGGTTTGTAATCCCTCCCCGGCCCCGCCCACCCCGAAACAAAATAAGCTCCTCTCCGACAACAGTTCAGCCTCGGAGTGTCCCGAAAGACAGCAAATCACTGATACACCTGAATGACTTCAAGGCTTTGGATCGCGCGGGCCTCGTTCTCGGTGAGCACGTTTCTGCTGATAGTCAGCCTTTCTAAAGCATAGTGGATACAATAGGAGGGCGCTCTTTGAAGTGGGTAAATTTGGAGTAAACGCTAAAGATGTCACCCCAACCAAATAGCGCCCTCCTCTTGTGTCCACCAAACCTCCAATAGTGACGATGTAACTAGAGCCCTTTTTCAAAGCGGGTCTCATTGGTCGTAACCCTGTTATTAATTATTTAGGCCTATTTCTGGTAATGACTTCGAGGATTCCCCCAAAGCACCCGTGGCTCGCAAGCCTGAAGAAACACGTAGAGACAGTGAGAAGCAGTTACAGTGTTTGAGGTGGGAGGAAACCCCCAGAGGAATACTCTGGGTAAAACCCACAGAATCAGGTTGGGAGTGAAAACCCAATCCACATGTGGACCGAGCCAGGAATCGAACTCGGACAGCAGAGGTGGAATGCGAGGAAAGAACCTCTACACCAACCCGACTCCATTGTGCAGTGGCACTCACCACTTACTACTGCATCTTTGCAGTGGAGTATTAAAGCACTTGTGAAGCCACTATGGGGACAACGACGAGATCAATTATAAAGAGGGATCGATATGGATGAATAGCCTCCTTGAACGACGCTAGACTAGCCAAACATCTCAATTTGTGTCCATTTTTTCAAAATGTTATCACCAGATTTTGCAACGAATAAATGCAAAGCAAGAGAAATTCTTCTTGACGAAGTAAACATTTCACAATAGTGCACCTCCAAGAGTTTGCAACGCGTTGGCCAATCACAATGCGAGAAATCGGTCGACCCAGTGGGCGTTTGAAAACGGTCGACAGAATTCGCGCATTATGATTGGCCTATAATTGGCCAACGCCGCGTTGCAATCTCTTAGAGGCGCACTTTTGCGAATATCGCCCGTATTTCGACGCTGAAAAACAGAGAGAGAAATCATTCGTATCGTGTATTTGTGGCAGCTCACAGACGTGAACTCGTCTACGGTGTGTAAAATTGTATGTAGACCCAGATTTCAAAGTCACAGGTATTGAAACCAAAGTCTAGCTATACATTCACTTTTCCCACTTCGTTAAATCCATTGTTGTGTCAAGGCTAACTGCGTCATTTTGCCACGCACTTTGCTCAGAAAGGCAGTATGTACATGTATTCGGACACCTTTCAAAGCTGAGAAAATTTGTCGGCATTGTTTCGGACGGGGTTCAACTCCACTCATCGCTAAACAGGACTGCAGAAAGTCTTGAGTGGTTATAGGTGAGCATTCTTACCCAGTTCAAGCAACTAAAGGCCAAACTTACGGTAAGTTTATCTGATCGTGTTACGTCATTCGGACACGTTTGAGAGTTCAGCAACACTTTATCAAACCCGACAAGAACTCCCGCCGTGCCAACGGCTCCAAGGGCATGGCGTGCTATGCTGAATGCTTGTACTTGGCAGGCGGTAAAGGCAGGTGCTTTGGGGAAACTATTTTGTACATCAAGTTTACCGCAGAATAGACTGATTGCGCCCGCTCAGTCACGTGACCTGTCGGTATTAAATACTAATTAACACAGCGTCCACCACAAGCAAAGTGTCTCATATCATACTAAATATAAAGCCCACAGTAGGTACTGCACTCGTCCTACTGCTGTGCTGGGAACTATATGTATACTGTCACTTTGCTATTTTGTAAACAACACTCAAAACACACGTCACTTTTTGGTCGATACCCACTCAAAGGTCACGTGATTTAGCGGACGCAGTCGGTGTATTGTTTATGATACCAACTTATCAGTAAATGACACTGCCTTCAAGTTTTCGATGGAATGGTCTTTTTTTTTACCTGATCTCAATAGTGCTGTTTTCCAGGATTCTGAAATCAAGACTCAGCACCCAGAGTCATGCACGGACAGAACACTTGTCATCTTGTCTTACTGCTCATTCCAACATTAACAGCTACCACGTTTCCTACGTTCCTGTTTTAAGTTTTAAAAATTAGATTTAAAAAAAGCCGAAGCGATAGTCAAAATTTAGAAATTACAAAGCATTTTCATGAGCCCGTTCGTCAAGGCTAATAATTACATACGTTACTCTACTGACGGCAAAATGCGTCGCGTCGTCATATTGTCACATCGTGCCATCTCTGTCATTGCATGGTTTTACACGGTGTGGGTTAGGCCATTCTGTCCTTCCGTTGTGTTGTCTCGTCCTGATGTCGTGCCGTCGCGTCGTGCCGTCGTGTCGTTGTGTTGTACTGTTGCATCGTGTCATCAGAGTCCGTCGTATCGTGCCGTCGTACCTTAAGAGGGGCTGCTGATCATCCAGACCAAAAGAGGGCGAATATCACAAGTCATGGAAAAACATAGTGTGCTTGCACATGGTGTATAGGGTCTACAAGATGTGATCATGTGATGGTATCTTTTGGTATACGGGAACCGAGCTCCGTCTCGTTAAGGGTGGCCTCTATTTCCACCGGTAATAAGGCGACAGCGAGAGCACGACACGTTGGGTCGATGTAACGGCGTGATAGCAGGGATTCTGTATCATGACTTCATAATAGGAATAGGCGACAGTACGACTCGACGAGCAGTTGGGGCTGTCGCGTATTACTGCGAAGGCTTGGGTTATTATACATGTACAACGCCCAACTGCCGTTCCAAGCAGAACGTAAATAAAAAAGTGGGATTGCAGCACTTCAATAGCATGGCAGTTGGGCTAAGCGCCAAACTTCATAGCGGAGTCGTGTCCTAATATACGTGATCCTTTTGTATGGTGTTATGGAAGGCAGCATTTGCCATAAACATGTATAAATAGGCGTTTTGGGCAGCTTACTTTGTAAAAGAAAATTCAAGGTTGGGTACACGATTTCAAAAGACGGTTTCACAAGCTAGGTGGGTCGCGCTAGGCCTAAGGGTATAATGTGTAAAATACTCTGGGAAACCAAATTCCGAAACGCTTCGACGATTTACAACGGAAATGTCTCAGTGTTACATTGCATTATACATATTTCGCCATAACAACAGTTCAGACAACCGTTCCAGTGAATTGATTGTCTAAATGAGTTTACCACCCCCTTGTGACGGTTTGTAGAAAGGATTCTGAATTAAGTCGGGAAAAATTTGACTCGGCTTTGCTGAAGGTTGGCTTATACATTTGGCGATTTCCGGAAATACATGTATAAGCCGTCAAACGTTTAATCCCACTTGCGTACATTTTCAAATTCATTATCTTGACCCTTTTGTTTTTGAAGGTAAACTTCACGATGAAGATGGCATATTTTAGTGTGATGGCGCTTGTCTTGGTGTTGGGATTTCCTGCTGGTGCCAAACACACATCGGTACAGTGACGTCTCACTATTACTTCAAAGAAACAGCAGAATGTTTGTTTGTCCCCTTTGGTAATACACTTTTAGGAGGTTTGGTTGGAATCCATGTAGTGTTTTGCAGCCATTAGCGTTTCGTATGAATAATAATAAAGAGAATGCCAGAAAAATTTAATGTAATGATTAGAAAAATTCAACTCTTGTACAAAAAGGTTGTGTCAGTCCTCCTCATGATAAATTAGATCGTTAATCCAACCGAGTCTGTCCACATCCATGTTATTGTTTTTGTTTGTATTGTTTTCTTTTCTGTTTTGTTTTTGTTTGTTTTTTTCAAAAATAACATTTGGGATAAACCACATTTGAAACAGTAAATCCAATCGTTTTTACTTTGTGAAAAAACAGAACAGGCAAATTTTGAAATTGCAATTTGTGTACATGATAAGAGTTTATTCCTGTCCAAAATGGCATTTCGTGATAACTAATTTCGTAGAGTCCTGACTGGCTATTAAAGAAAATGGTTTAAACGTTTCTCATATTGCAGGACTCCTCATCGAGGTCAAAGGTCTTGTTGCTGCTTCTCGATGGCATGCGTTCTGACCTATACGGCGAGCCACTTCCGGGACTTAAATCCATGGAAATGAACGGCGTCAGGGCTGAGTGGCTTACACCCGCCTACATCACACTGTCTATGCCTTGCATGTACACCATAGTCACAGGTATTTACAAATGCATCACAACTTCGTCCACATGAGCGGGTGGTGAAGTCAAGCGATATTTTGTTCTCAATAAAACGATCACTCTGCTACACGGACAATATATCAGTATGACAAGTTTCAATCATGCATGTCTACGGTGGCTAGAGTGTGTCATCTATGTAGGCCTACTGACAGCCACCAGATAGCAAAGTAGAACATTACTCTTATCATTATGTTTGAAAGGCTTTGTCCAATTCTGACAACAGGTCTTTTATCCTGCAGACATACGTTTAACTTGCGATATCACGAAAGTTACAGAGAGTGAGTGTTTAAATGGGGATTAATGCCTCGGAAGCATTTACTTTGGAAGACTGTATCTCCGAGGCTACTGATAGTTTACAGGTTTCTTCAATCTGCAATATGCGCACCTGATCCGACTACCCACCGCTACTTATAAGTGAGGCCTGTGCAGCAAAATAGCCAGGTTCTAACTGTGATGCTAATATATTATCGTTTGATTCAATACAGTAGGCAAACCTATAAGTGAGGCTTGTTCGAGCCTTTTGCTTGCAAATTTTCTTGACGCTGACTAGCCTCACTTATAAGTGTGCTACTGTATTGCATCACACAGTAATATAATAGCATCACAAGCCTTGCATGCTATTTTGCTGCACAGGCCTCATTTATAAGTAGCTGTGGGTAGTCGGATGTGGGTGCTATGCGAGTGTAGATCGACGGAAACAGCGTAAACATATCGTTCAGAGTCTTTATGTAAAGACGATTAGTCCGTAACTCGCAAGAATGTGCTTAAAATCATATTAAATTTGGAGAATTTATCCCTGGCTGGGTTAATAAAAGGTTGGCAGTTACAACGGTGGTGTGGTTATAGAAAGAGCAAGGGTCTTGCCTCAAAATTATCCCCAGGATCCATTTCAACTTTTAGAGGCCCTGTAATTGCAGGAAAGTACCGGTATTTAGAAATGAAACCCATGACATACAACTTCGATACAGTCGTTCATGTGTTTCTGCATAACTGTATAACAAGTCAGAACACATCGCAACACATAAGGACAGATCAAAGCAATATAGATAAAGTCAAGTATCGGGAATTTCGAACCATTGAGCACAGCAGAAAAGCTGACAAACTCTGATTTCTTTGCAAGTGCGTGTCAGCATAGCAGTTATCCAACCCGGCATAAGATAGACGAACAACAGTCATCAACTGCCGGACGATAAACCGTTCAAAACATTTTTATACGACGCATCGTGTGTCATAATATGGCCAAAAAATATTATGGCGTCGTTCCAACGACAAGATGACTCGTGGCTGTCCCGCATATGATACATTATTTGTAGAGTTTCACGTCAACTTTGTCAACCTTGTGCTTAATCCAACTGATACCCTGCTTTGCGTCCAGGGCTGTACCCGGAGAGCCACGGGATCACCTTCAACAAATACTATAACCTCTCGACTGGATACAAGGCAAAGACATTCTACGAGACCCTCAACATCACCGACTGGTTCAATTCCCCGGGAGTAGAACCCATATGGGTGACGGCGATCAAGCACGGCCTCAAGGCCGGCACTGTCCAGTACCCTGGAGGGAACGTGGCCATCCAGGGCATCCGGCCCACCAAGAACTCCCCCGGTGTGCCTTGGCAGCAGCTCGGTCAGTATCCGCTCAAGGGGCTGATAGACATCGGTTTGGATTGGTTGAAGAATGACGACATGGACTTAGTGCTCGTGTACTCGGGCCAACCAGACAGTGCTTTACACGGCGAGGGCATCGGCAGCGCGACTGCCACGGCCAAGATGCACGAAGTTGACAAAGACGTGAAGTATCTCTTTGAGAAGAGCCGAGAGATGGGATTGGAGGACACGCTTGACGTCATAGTGACGAGTGACCATGGACACGTAAACATCGACCCTAGGCGCTATGTTGAGCTGTATGATTACATCAACGCTAGCGACATTCAAATGGGACTTCTCGACTACGGGAACACGTTCCAGATTGAGCCAGTTGAAGGGAAGCTCGATACAGTGAGTAGTACCTAGGAATCCATTACCAGTTCAAGAACGATTTTGAATTGTTCTATTGTATCCAAATTCTGTGCTAGTTTACGATGAACGAGTTGTAACACAATTGAAAGGGACCATCCAAATTTCCTTGCTATATCCTTAACCTTGCGATAAAAATGACTGGGACAAAAGAATTCATAATTTACCCTTAATGACACTTCCGTGGTAACCTTTCCCTTATATGGACAATCAACTCTGTAACGTGGCATTAATTTATTCCCTGGTGCAAATCAATTTCCATTTCTTTCGATCGCATTTTCAGAGTTTCCTGTGTGAAAGATAATTTAATAATAGGTGCAAGCCTTGAATACCTTTATCAGGGCAAAGTGACATTCTGTTGTGGTCCTTTTTTGCTTTTACAAGCGCTTTGGTTAATTCTGCATCGTAACCTGCACAACCGTCGTCCGTTTGACTATTCCTTGCAATGAATTTTATGACCCATTCAGCATCGGCTTTTAACCCTAAAAGGACCGGGGTCAGGGTTCCTGCACCTAAAGGACAATTAAATTCCATAACTTTTCCATGACTTTTCCACGACCAAATAATAAAAATCCATAACCAAATAGCGCAATTTCATGGACAATTCGACCTTTTAGGTTGCAAATACAATCACAGATTTTATGCGCTTATTGCTGATAATAGAAATCACACAGTGTTTTATGACTTCCATGACAAAATTCCATGACTTTTCCATAACCTTTGTAATTTTTACAAAATCCCATGACTTTTTTAGGCCTGAAAAAGGAAAAACAAATTTCCATGACTTTTCCAGACTGCAGGAACCCTGCAAGGTGGAACCCGCCCCTCGAATTTTTTTGCAATATCACCGCAGTGCATTTTCTTCAGGAGTTCAACCCTAATGAGTTTTTAGAGTAACTCTAAAACGAGTAACTCTTAGAGTAACTCTAACGCGGTCATTTTTGCGCCACTGTGGCCAAAATTGAACATACTGTTCTCGCGCGCGCAGAGCGCATTTTCCCGAGACGGGACAGCCAAAAAAGGAACGGTGTATGCTCCACGGCGGTGCTCAAAGCAGGTGTACTGGTGCGCTTGTAGCCATGAACTTCAAATGACCATAAGAACGAAGGCATAGAGGCGTGCCCGTACATGCATATCAAGTTTCCCGAAATCTGGAGCGGCACAGCTGAGTTCTTATGGGGCGGAATCCGCATCCCCCGGCACAGTGAGATCGGCCAAAAAAACCTGGTTCTTTTAACGTTAAACCTACAATTTTTTAGTTCCCTCCCTTTCCTCTCTTGTATCAGCTTTACAATGCCTTGGTGAACGCCCATCCGCAGCTGAATGTCTATAAGAAATTGGATTTCCCCACTCGTTTCCACTACGCCAGTAGCGACAGGATTATGAAACTCCTGGGCCACGTGGACTCCAATTGGTATCTATTTTCAGTAAGTTACAAGAGCATATCTTCAGTTTGTGAAAATTGCGATTTCTAGAAAAAACAGGCTTCAGAATTCAAACCTGAATGCCGTTTAAAGAAAGTAATTCCAGAGTAGCGTGCGTGTTTGAAAATCTTTTTGTGAGTATTTTGCTAATGCTGAATTCTGATTACTTTTTGAATGACGTTGAGCCGAAGAGCGTACCGGAGGTGAGGTCCAAGAAGTTGAATATCGATGTTGACTTATTATTTGAGTGATGGATGAATTAGTTTGTCCTAATCTCCTTACAGACGATGATCATTGCGTTTCCTAATTTTCGCTATTCAGTGGCCAATCTTAATGCATAAAGACATCTCCTGTGAGTAAACCAAGTTTTACTCGAGTCCACTAACTGGGATTTTTATAGTCACAGCGTGTTCATGCTCTCAAACTTGTCGATCAGACTATTGAACAAAACGCCACTACGAAAGGTTAAAGTATAGCCGCAATGGATTTTTCACAGAACATAACCTGTCTACAATTTAATATTTTTCGTCAGTGTATATAACTATTTGTCATTTGTAACAGGTTTCATGTGCTGAATGTGCACTTTTCTGAACATGGAAAATCATCTATGCTTTTCTCGGCAACTGAGGACGCTGTTGCTGTGATTTCGTCTGGGGAAAACATAATTCATTCCATTGGCTTTTCTGTACATATAATGAACCCAGAATTACCGACTGAAAAACAGATATGAAAAAGGGTTAACTTCTAATTTATTGCTATATACTTATACAATAATGAATTACCAAAGAAGAGAAAAATCTCAAAAAAAGTTTAGGTATTTAGCTCAATTTTTTTCTCTCTTTTCTGCTAGAGGAAAACGGAAAGCAGCTTCTTCTTGGCAGCTGACCACGGCTATGACAACCAAAATCCTGAAATGAGATCTATTTTCTACGCCCAGGGGCCTAGCTTCAAGAAGGGGTTCAGAAGTGAGCACTTTGAATCGGTAAGATATAGATAAGTCTGTGTAGATGAATCACGCACGTGTGATCATGGAGATGGATATTTCTGGAATAATATCTCAATCTCTGGTTTCGTATATGAATAGGTTGCTGGGTAATACAAACTCTCTTGATCTTCAGAAAAGCAAAATAAATAGAACAAACGAGTTGCAAAAGATAAGACATGTTACACGAAATTTAATTCTCGCTGTGGTGATTTGTTTTGTTTATGTTGTTTGTGTTGATTTCTTATTTTTATTTGTCTTTATCATTCATTATTAAATTTTCATATTTTTATGAAGTGATTTGGGCCATTCATTTCTTTAAGTGCTCGTTACCCATAGGTCAATATCTACCCGATGATCTGCGACCTTCTCGGTTTGGAGCCGGCACCTAACAATGGTTCCCGTGAGAACTACAAGGATCTCTTTGACGACGGCTCCGGCAGCGCCTCTACTTTCCGTTCATTGGGTGTCGCCATGTTGACATCAGTTTTCACCTCATTTGTACTTATATCCAAATAATTAATTTGGAGATAGATTTTGCAGATCCACTGTTAGTTTCGCGAATGGTGTTATAATCAGACTGAGACCAACATAGGAAGTCGGCTCGGTATTTCAACATGGCGATCTCGCCCATTCCCAAACGCTGTGAGCGGTCCTTTTTTCGTGCTTGTAGTTTTGAATTATCCATTCAAACTGACTCGTTGTATCGAAGTAACTTACACATCATTCAATTCAACTGTCATGAAGGTCTTCAAGTTCATCTGTTTTCATGCCCGTTATAGCCTAACCTTGTTTTCTCGGAATATCTTTCCCTTTTCTTTACTTACTACATTACAGTTCTAGAAAACTCTGAAGAAAAGCACTAAAGGGTGTTTTTAATAATACAACTTGTTTTTAAATACAATTTGTTCTATGCCACGAGACTTTCTAAATATTTGCGTGGGTTCTTGGTATCAAACGGTAAGGTATATTTCCAGTTCGACGTTTTCTCAAACGTGACGTTGCCTCCCGATCGGTCCACCCACCTCTGTTCGTAAAGGAAGCTTTTAAAGCAAAATTCCACGTTCGAAGAATATGCCGGTAATATAATACATTACAACAGGGAAGTGATTAAACGTAACAGCTTCAGCGTATGTTATGAAACCGTGGGCACAAAAGAAAAAGTGTGTTCTGTCGAGCTTGCATAGTCTAATCAATAAGGCATAGGATAAAGGATACCTTTTGGTGATGTCTGTGGTCAATTCTAGCGACCACTACTCTATTTTTTGCCTTTGAGAGAAATATCAGTTTTGAAAGATTATTCAATTTACTGCCCAAATTTGTAGCCTTGTAAGATTTTTTTCTCAAGAGAACAAAATGCTCACTCAAACTCATTGAATTTGAACTCGCTTATTAGCGTGACACCGGTATCACATCATGCAATAATATATTACCGCCAAGCTTCGAAACTGGCATTTTGCTTCAAAGGCTTTGTTTATTAACAGCAGTGAGTACATGTATTCGGATCGGATGTCCAAGAAAACACTAAAAGATTTACCGGGCAAGGAACCATCCCCCCATTCCAAAGAAATAACCATAGCACTAGTTTAGGTAAATTCGTTATTTTTTCGCTTGTTGTGTATGTGAAAAAGAAATCGCGTATTTCTAAAGCATTTCTTTTTAGAATATAACATTCGAATTCCGGAATCTCTGCAATTGATTGACATGTAGGCCTAGTTGTAACTCGCTCTGTATTGTTTCGATGGGTATATGTAGCTGAGTTTGATCACCCCGAAGGGTTCATGCATACAAGGACTGACTTTTGGGGGTTGGTAAATGCAAGGTGTCATTCCTCATTTTTGGATTGAAAAGGGTTACAACACAAAACTTGTGTTCGTTCAACCGATCCCACTGCTGTATATAATCAAGGCGTTCATTCTATAAAAGGCACCTACACTGAATAAACGCTTCAGCGGCAAAGCCGCTAGAATAAAACAGAGGGAGTTCGGTCGAGATGGCTTCTGTGTGGTGTTGTGAATAATGGAAAAGATTTCCAAGGATGTTTGTGGTTCGAATAGGGGTCCATCTCACCTCTCCTCTCCCTCCCATCTCTCTTCCCTTCTTTCCCATTCTGTTTCCTATTCGAAAATATAACTTTTGAAAGGGTATTTAATTACGTTGTTTAACTGTTTAGCCTTGTTTGCTTTAAGGGAGAAAACACTCATATCAATGCGTGACTGACTTAAGCCCAGGGGCGTGGCCACGGGGAGGCCTGGGGGCACATGTTGCCCGCCCCCCGCCCCCACAAAAAAAACGGATGAATGGATATTGGGCAAGGCTAACAAAACCTTGCCCCTAAAAAAACACACCACTGAAAGCTGGTGCCCCCATGAAAAAGATGCTGGTGCCCCCACCCCCTTTGTGCCCCCTCCCACCAGTATAATCCTAGCTACGCCATTGCTTGAGTCTCACTTATAAGTGTGGCACGTCTTTATTTAATAAAAATCACTTCCCAGTTCCCGACATTTGCATTTTGCTGTAAGAACCTTGTCTATTATCAGTGGTAGGTATTCGAAGCCGGTGGCTCGTTTGGGGATTAATATTATATTAAACTCAACACCAACTTTCAATTTACATGCCAAGGTTGCCTGTAAGACAAGCGCACGTTGGAAGGTCAACGCCAGACACTGGCCAATTTATTGTTCAAAGCGCAACAAGTGCAAGATTCTTTACTTTGCACATTTCAAAGATCTTGGTGAACGGAAACAAATATCTCACTTGCAGGGGAATTATTTTTAAAAGATTGACCTTTAAGGTTAGATGATTTTTATTAAAGTAAAACTGTAGACCACTGGGTACAGTCCGCCTCCAAAATTGATTTGACAACCGGATTAACTAAGCCCCCACCGTCCAAAAATCTTTCCGATAGGTATTTTGCCGAATTTGTCATCATATGCAAATGGGACCTAATTTGCGGGCTACAGACCTGATCTTTGATACCGTTCCCACCTCCAATGTCAAGAGGCTGCCGATAATGTTATCGAGTTCGTTGTTCATCTTGTGCTTCATAGTTCGGCAAAACTCATCAACGTGCCTCGACCAAGGTAGACTTTGTCAGTGATAGTATGCCCTTGTTGCAGCTGTAGCTGTGGGAAGTAAAGGCTTCTAATCATCGATATGTAAAATGAAATGCGTGCTTTCTACATTGCACTCGCAGCGCATAAAACGAAAAGAAATGTGGTGGTAAGGCAGCACAGATTAATAAAATATTCCAACCTGTTTAGCATGTTAAATGTTACTTCGACATACGAAACTGTTCACACGATCAGTTCGACAGTAGAGTACCATTATTCATATTACATGTCGTAATTGTCAGGGCTTTGTTATCATGGAAAGCAGAGGACAGAGAACTATATACTTAGCAAAGAAAACTGTTACTCAGCAAAGCAAAAAAACCGACTTAAAAGCAGGTTATTAGCTGAAAATTCCATGTGATATCCTCATCAACGGTCAGCTAACAACGTTCCATGTGGAACGTTGTCAGCTGACCGTTCCTTTGCAAAACTTAAGCTGCTTATTCTCTTGTGAGCGTTTAAATCCTACTGAGGTGAAATGGAAATAAAGAAGATAAACATTTTACCGAAGTCCAAAAAGCTCACGATTGCGTCTATTTGGTATCAATTGTTGCCTTACTGTGAACAGTTTCTCAAAGTAATTTTTAGTTGTTTTTGACAGGTTTAATGGGGAAAAGTCAAATATTAGATTTAAAAATAATGTGGTCAACCTTCAAATTTGAAAAGAAATCATTGCACCCATCTCAAAGTGCAAACCAGGAGTGACACAAGTACACAATAGATACAATTTTACGTTATCAGGTACAAATGTCCACATGTACTTGTGCAGGGAAGCTGTGACGAATAGTCTGCTCTTAACTTGGTACATTTTGGTAATCATCCTGCTGTGAATCAACTGTTAAAAGAGAACCCCCTTCTGCAATGGACCGTAAAATACTGCGATCAGCACTGGTGATCTCTTTAATGACGCTTCAAACGTTAGCTGCTAAGGTAAGAAAATCGGGTTCCAAGTTTAGAGCAATCGACTTCTGTATAAATCAAAAGTACAGTTTACCGTGTGACAGACAGCTCTTAGGAACCCGTGACGTTGACTGAACAGTCATTGCCCGTAGAAAACAGGTACTTTTGTAGTCGATTCCATTTCCAAGTCTCAATAAATGTATCAGAAATCTTCGGGTTGTAAATAAACTGTAATTATTATTCTGCCACTGTTCTCTTGTACCTATTGACCGGTCTTCTGAAAGGATTTCAAAATGGACTTTACCAAAACACTGGAAAACGGCAGAATAAGACAATTGAGAGTTAATTAAATTTGAATAAAATCTGACTGCATATAAATATAACGACTTGAATTCCCCAGACTAAAGAAACTGTAGCTATACCTCGTGATTCGGGGCAAACTTTCGCATAGCGACCACCATCTCTGGAATGGACTGGTTCCTTTGTGCTCTTTTTATCCATTGAGAACAGTGTATTGTTGCAAGGCGTCACTTATGTAACTAATTACGAGGTATAGCAACAGTGGTTTTAGTAAGGAGAATTTAAGTTGTTATGTTCACGTGAATTTAAAGAATCAGTGTACAAGATTTGGGTCAAAGTTAACTCGCAAAAGGCTTACTGCTTAAGCCTTTACACCGCATCTTCCAATATAAAGACAAGATTTACAATACAATAATTTACAACACTAGCTTCCTATTTCACAAAACTGGCTCAATGCAACTGGCGTTGTGTAAGATGCTTATAATGGGCCATTCCACAAAATGATTATACCTCAGTCCTCTGATCTTTGATCAACTCGTGGAAATCCTTGGACCTTTGACAGGAGAAGGTTTTCCTGATGCTGGTCGACGCTCTCAGGTGGGATCGTCTCGGATATGAGTTTCCGTCTTTGGATGCCATGGAGGAGAATGGAGTACGGGCCGAGTGGACAGATCCTGTCTTCATCACGCAGTCTTCACCAAGCATGATGTCCATCGCCACAGGTAAGAAGGCTGTGTAACTTGTAAGCTGTGTCATGCACGATGATGACTTGCCATTGTTCGTGAAATAACAAAGGGGTCGAATCATCTTGCGATATAATATAGACATATTGAGACAAAAGTGGTTAAGTTGACCACTGTATGGCTTCAGCATTCGCCATGTTTACCGTGTTTGATCTACTGAAGAAAGCTTAAGGGTGTGGGACGCTGGTCGTGCCCACGGTAGTTCTCGCAAGGGGTAATAACGAATATCTGGAAAATGATTGAGCAGATTCGGGGCACTTCGATATGTAACGCTTTTGGTCGTCTAACTAACAATCGTGGAGTGCGCCCGTAATGTTCCTGCTAAGGCGCTTTTCCATGTTGATTGGTGTCGATGTAGGAGACAGAGATAACAAAAAGATTTGTGTTAGATGTCTTGCTCTGCTTCTAGGTCTGTACGTGGAGAGTCACGGCGTAGTCCACAACCAAGCTTTCGATCCAGAGACCGGGGAAATCTCACCGAATTACCTGGCGGGACTGAACAGTACCTGGTGGTTTAACGGCGGAGGCCAGCCGATTTGGCTGACAGCCATGGACCAGGGGCTCAAGGCGGGCACCTTCATGTACCCTGGCGGTCAGGTACCCATCAACGGCAGGCAGCCCACCCGTTGGCAGGTATCGTCCAACCCGGAGATGAAACGATTCGCCAACTTGACCGACCGCGCGGACGTCATCTTCGACTGGCTGTACGGCAAGGATGACTTGGACCTCGTTCTGATCCACGTGGAAGTCATCGATAACGCGCTTCACGCGTTTGGATTCACTGCCCTTGACATTGCCAAGAAAGAGGCAGAAAAGGTTAAAGGCAGGCCTTCTGTTTCATTCAATTGAGAGTTTCAAGCTCTCAAGATCCCAGTGCCCACCTTAATTAACCAAAACATCGCATCTTAATTTAAGAATGTTGTGAGTTATTAACTACTTTTTTCCAAGATGCCGTGTCATTGAGTCTCTTGTGTCACTTTAAAAACATATAGCATATGTTGTAAAATCGAAAACCGCAGAAATTTTTTTTATGAACTTTTGACCAATCGATGCACTGGCAAAACTAGCATAAACATTTTCATGAACAAGGCCATCAACAATATCTCAAAGATAACTACACTCGTTCAACGTCAGCATTACCATCAGCCCAAAACTTTCCCAGTCAGAAGCTGATAAGAGAGAATTCAACAGTTTGCTAAATATCAGTTATAAGAATAGGGCATCCTTACTGCTGACACTGCATATAATAAAGCCGCCTTTTGGAAATCATAATTACTGAATATTTCTCCTCGTTTTCATTATTCAGGTCAACGAGTTGATTGATTACATCCTGACGAGAATGAAAGATGAGAGGGTGAAAGATACCTTGAACTTTCTAATAACGGCTGACCATGGTATGACGATAAATTCAGCAAAGAAAAGAATTTACATCTACGATTACATCAATGAAACCGATATTGATTTCATCTTCGCAGACGTTGGACCGGTGTTTCAAATTAAACCGAAAGATGGGGCACTGCAGAAGGTAAGACCTCCGTGGTAGTTCGAGCACCGGCCAAATCCCAATTACTATTTCGTTACAAGAAAAAAGGCAGCCTGAAGCACTTGTCGCAGACTTTTGTTATCGCCGACCGTAGCCAGGTCACCGGCACATAACCGGCCACGCACGCAGCTAATGAGCCCTTGAATGAATGACCATCGTGGTGTTAGGGCCTACTGATCAAAATATGGATCCTGCTAGAAATTTGGGGTCCGACGTGTGACGTGTCTGTCTATCCCTGTTACACCTGACAATGTAATTTGACAAGAAATATCAATGAAAGTGATTTCAGACTATTTTCATTTTTTTTTGGCCTGTAATCTGTGTCAGGTAATCGCTCTCGGAAATGAATTTATTCTAAACTTACGAAATTTCATGTTCAGTGCAGCTGGGGCAAGAAGGAATTGTACCCTACATTTATGTACTGATCCATATCCAAATGGTCCAGATGTGAACGATTCACTAGTTGTCAGCTATATGATTATAATCCATTTCAATCAACATCACTCATCACATCCGTCACTTTAAAGAAAACAATTACATTTACATGTGCCAGGTGTACAGTATTCTTAAGGACGCACATCCTGCAATGTATGTGTACATGAAAGAAGACTTCCCGGAGAGGTTCCACTTTGCAAACAACCCTCGAAATCTGCCTATCATTGGCTACGTGGATCCTACCTGGGCAGTGATGAAGGTGGGTAAATGCAGTGATGTATTTCGAATTGAAGGTTGACGATTTTGTTGCTGTCTGCCGCTGATTCCCCTTAAAATTTACGGTCACTGTATATTTAGCGAGCAATTTAATTAAATGTGAATTAGCTCTTACTTCCAAGACTGTAATTTTTTTCCGTAAGGGAAGGTAATTACATGTATGGAACAATGTGCAACATTATGACACTTTAGAGGGCGATGTTCATGTTCAACCCGGTTACCAACAATTACGTGATATTTTTACATGGATTGCCATTTTCAAATAATAGAATGGAATAGCTACTTTATACGCAAAGCCCCTGCTGAGATCTTTTCCTTTTGTTTTTTGCCTGCTGTTCCGAACAATTTAGAAAAGAAGGTTTATTGAGATTGGGAAGGCCGCCGATCACGGTTATGACAACGAAGACATGACGATGAAATCTTCCTTCTACGCTCAGGGACCCAGCTTCAAGAAGGGCTATCTAGCAAAGCACTTCGAATCGGTAAGAAAACCAGAATAACTGCAATTTTGTGCGACTATCTTGCACCGCTTGTGAACGAGTTTAAACTGTCCTCCTGACTCAAAGAAACGACGTCATGCATCCTGAAAGGTTCGCTAGAGGGTCGGTTAGTGGGCAGGAGTGAACTGTGAAACCCCTGAGAGCCGTCATTCATGTGTTCGGACACTAGTTAGCGGTTGACGCCATTTTGTTTCCAAACCGGTCGGCAGTTGTGATTGGAGTTGCACCAGCAGATCATAAAATCAGAAGAAAAGGACTAAAGAAGATCTTTGGTCAAGCGATGTTTTTCATTCGTCGTTTAAATTTATACAGATATGAGCAGAAACGCGTGCGCCTCCGAAGTCTCTCCTTATTCTAGCATGAAATTCCCAATAGAAATACGCAGATTCGAGAATGTACACGCCTCCACACACAAGGCACGCTTCCTGAAATACCTTCACCCGTCATGTTGAACAACTTTTGAGTGCTTTTGCGTCATACTTTAGCCTCCAAAAGGCTTCTTCCCTTCCTGTTTGCAGGCCTAAGCTTGTCCCACAGCCGTAAGTGAGCTTAGAAACCGACTGAATAACGCCCCTTCGCGGTATTCATTGCATGCATTTTTGTCTCCAAACTTCGACAGGTGAATATATACCCTTTGATGTGTGAACTCCTTGGCATTGTGCCAGCTCCAAACAACGGATCACGAGACAACTACAAGGACATGTTGGGAAGTAAGGAGACTATTTGTGACTGCTGTCCCAATGGACAAGTACGTCTTCGCGCCTCCATGTCGTTGTGGATGCTATGTATTCTTTCCATCGTGTATTAGAAACGTTGAGTTAAACCAATTAGACATCAATATAAGTGACAAACTGTCTATACAAAATCATGTATTCTTCGACTGGCCTGTATCTTTTGAGAACGTGGGTGGTCCAAAACAAAACATTATAGTATCCAGGAAGCATTCACAAATCGTGAGATGTTGACATTGTGAATAGAATGCGGCAGAATTTCTGGACTGAAGTGAGTAACGCCCTCGGGGTCAACATGCAAATAGAGGTCATTTTTGGAACTACATTTTACCACAAAATTATATAGTCTGAACTCATTTCACTCCAAGGTTTGGGTCCAGAGGAGCAAAATAGCACTTTCTTAGCAGATCACTGTTTTGCCCTTTGGGAAAATTAATGTTATGTGGGTGTTGAAAATGATTTAAATTCAAATATTGTTCCTCATTTGTAATCGGTTTATTTGATGTTGTCACGACATTTCACAAAGTGGACTAGAGTGGACTGAAAACCAATAAACAAAGATTGATGAAAAAAACGAGACTTTCCCGAGGACACGTAATCATTGCGTTGACACCACATCACACAAATGTTGCTTCGTGTAGCATTATGGAATTACTGACTGTACTAAAATTATCATAATAATTAAATCATTAAATATCGCGACTACCGAAAGGATATTATACAAACTACAAACTCCTATACAGTAGGTCGTCGAAAGTGGGTCGTCGAGTCGACAAAAATCGGCTCGATGTTTATACATGTATGATGCACATGCTTCTGTATGTTACATGGAAATTCACAAAAATAAAATTAATCTCCACCTGTGCAGAAATTTAAATGCAATTTGCTGGGGATGTTCTTGTTTCGCTCTGCCTTTCGTGTGCATTTCCTTCTTACCGAAGTACCGGTCTTCGGGTTAAAGGTCACAATGTGACAGGCAAAGTAAAAAAAAGGAAAAATGTTCTTTTTTCCGAGTTTCTGGAATGAGTGAAACAGGCGTTTTACATTTAATTATAAATGTTATATAATAATGAATATGTTAGCATGAAAAATCTCTACAACTTATATAAAACCACAGATCTGTACAAAGACAAAAAGGAGGCACAATGTTAAAAACAAAACCCAGATTATCTATTGTAGTCAGTAAATAATAAAATACGTATAGTAAAACACAAAATAAAGTTGTTTTTACGTTTGTAAAACTATTTCTATATCGACCATGATACATTTCAAATCTTCCATTCGTAATGAATTGAATTTTTTGCTTCCACAAAACTATGTTATCATATTGATCTTAGTTCTGGGTATATCTTCCAAAAGTCACAAGTATACCTACAAAAGTTGGGGGGTCTCAATTCTGATGTGATTATGAGAGAGTTTGATGTACATTGTTCAAATAAGGCAAAATACACAAATCAGAGCACATTTCAGCATAAAATACATTTAATGAGAAAATGAGGGGCTGGTAACATTTACAGTGCCTTGGTGAACGCCCATCCTCAGCTGAATATCTATAAGAAAGAGGATTTCCCCACTCGTTTCCACTACGCCAATAGCGACAGGATTATGAAACTCCTGGGCCACGTGGACTCCAATTGGTATCCATTTTCAGTAAGTTACAAGAACATATCTTCAGTTTGTGAAAATTTGCGATTTCTAGATCCCACTGCTGTATATAATCAAGGCTGCGACTCTATGATAGGCACCTAAATTTTGTAAAAGCTTCAGAGGCTTAACCGCAAGAATAAAACAAAGGGAGTTCTGTCGAGATGGCTTCCGTGTGATGTGGAATGATAAATTACTTCCCAGTTCCTGACATTGGCATTTTGCCATAAGAACCTCGTCTATTGGCAGTGTTAGGTATAGCAAAATATCGACCTCAATAGGTTAAGCTTGCGCTTGCACCATATAGAAGAAAATATCTCTTTTATGAGTGTGTGGTTGTGAGAAGAACCGATGGTGATCAGTATGCTCTGTTCGTCTTCAGGAAGATGACTGGTTGCCTGTCTCTAAAGATACTGGTTATAAGTGCTACAGAGGATGCTAAGGGTGCACTGGAGCAGAAGAGCTTGCTAATGGTGGATCCGCTGGGCTGAAAGGCTACTAAGTGCGTTCACTGATGCATGGCAGTGTGGCCTAGGGTTTAGTGGGAGGAGGAACTAGTGACCGAGGGTATAGATGACACATTGGTCTGGGAGGGTAATATGGAGTGCCAGACGCTGCTGATGTGGAATCCAACGTCTTGGGGTACTGCGTCGTACTTGTATATCTCGATAGCTTCCCTGATGCGTCTTGGGTACCATCTGTTGACTGGAGCGATTAGATGAGCTGCTTGCCAGTTGATGACGTGATCCTTAATGTGTGAGTGCTTGACAATCGCTGATTTATCGTTGTCACCTCTGCGTCCTTGGTCAATATGTGTTCTTTGAGTCTGGTGGGCAAGTCCCGACCAGTCTTGCCGATATACACCTCCCCACATTCGCAGGGGATCTTGTAGACACCAGCTTTTGTCCGATGGTCTTGCTTGTCCTTTTGGGTCTACAGGGTGGCTTGAAGTTTCTTGGCTGCAGTGTGGAATACTCAGATGTTAGCTCGGTGAAGGATGCGTTGGATCTTGTGGGATGCGTTTCCTATGTATGGTAAGGGGGATCGCCTATTCCGAACAAGGGGTTTTGGGCACAGCTTGGTAAATTTCTTGTTCTTCTTGTGGCGGGTAGTCTTGTAGGCGTGAGGGCTGGATAACTAGTTAAGGGCTTGAATCTTGGAGAAATCTCTTGGCTGTATCGTATCTTGAAGAGTCTGCCGAGAGTTGTTGATCTTCTTGTCCAGTAACACTCGCTGGGATCTGGTTCTTGAGATCTGGAGTCGCAGTAGACTCGACACCAAGTCAACACCAACTTTCAAGGTGGCATGTAAGACACGCGTGGGTTGGCAACGCCAGACACTGGCCACTTTATTTGTTTAAAGTGCCACAAGTGCTAAAATGTTTACTTTGCACATTTCAAAGACCTGGGTGACAAATATCTCACTTGCAGAGGAATTATTTTTAAAAGATCGAAATTTAAGGTTGAAACGATTTTAAAAAATAAAACTGTAGACAACTGGGTACTGTCCGCCTCCAAAATGGATTTGACAATCGGGTTAACCAAGCCCTCGCCGTCCCAAAATCTTTCCGATAGGTATTTTGCCAAATTTTGTCATCATATGCAAATGGGACCTAATTCGTGGGCTACAGGCCTGATCTTTGATACCGTTCTTACCTCCAATGTCAAGAGACGACTGATAATGTTATCGAGTTCGTTGTTCATCTGTGTAATTAATACTTCATGGTTGTTCGGCAAAACTCATCAACGAAACTAGACCAAGGAAGACTTTGTCAGTGATAGTGTGCCCTTGTTGCTGCTGTAGCTGTGGGAAGTAAAGGCTTCTAATCATCAGTTGCTATGTAAACTGAAACGCGTGCTTTCTACGTCACACTCGCAGCGCATAAAACGAAAACAAATGTGGTGGTAAGGCAACACGGATTAATAAATATTCCAAGATAAATGTTACTTCGACACTTCAACATACGACACTGTTGACACTATCAGTTTGACAGTAGAGTACCGTTATTCATATTACATGTCGTAATTGTCAGGGCCTTTGTTATGGAAATAAGCAGTGGACAGAGATCTACTTAGCAACGAAAACTGTTACTCAGCAAAGCAAAAAATAAACAACTTAAAAGCTGGTTATTAGCTGAATACGCCATGTGATATCCTCAGCATGTGGAACGTTGTCAGCAAACCGTTCCTTTGCAAAACTCAGGCTGCATATTCTTGTGTGGGCGTTTAAATCCTACTGAGGTGAAATGTAAATAAAGAAGATAAACATTTTACCGAAGTCCAAAACTCTCACGATTGCATCTATTTGGTATCAATTGTTGCCTTATTGTGAACAATTTCTCAAAGTAATTTTTAGTTGTTTTTGACAGGTTTAATGGGGGAAAAATCAAATATTAGATTTAAAAATTATGTGGTCAACCTTCAAAGTTGAAAAAAAATCATTGCACCCATCTCAAAGTGCAAACCAGGAGTGACTTTAAGTACACAATAGATACAATTAGAGAAGATAATTTTACGTTATCAGGTACAAATGTCAACATGCACTTGTGGAAGGAGCCTGTGACGAATAGTCTGCTCGTAACTTGGAACATTTTGGTAATCATCCTGCTGTGAATGAACTTTTAAAAGAGAACCCCCTTCTGCAATGGACCGTAAAATACTGCGATCAGCACTGGTGATTTCTTTAATGACGCTTCAGACGTTAGCTGCTAAGGTAAGAAAATCGGGTTCCAAGTTAAGAGGAGCGATCAACGTCGGTATGAAACTAAAGTGCCGTTTACCGTTTGATAGACGGTTCACAGCAACCTGCGACGTTGACTGATAATGAAGTCACTCCCCGTAGAAAACTTGTGCATTTGTAGTCGATTCCATTTCCAAGTCTCAATAAATGTATAAGAAATCGTCGGGTTGTAAATAAACTGTAATTATTTGTCTGTTACTGTTCCATTGTACCTATTCTGAAAGGGTTTCAAAATGGACTTTACCAAAACACCGGGAAATGGCCTTCGTAATTCTTGAGCTCAGGCAGAATAGCTTGAGCCTTTACACCGCATCTTCCAATACATGGTGTTTTTAATACAATATGCACAACAGTAGCTGCCGATTTCACAAACACTGGCTCAATTTCGCATCATGCGTTTTAATAGCCTTATGCCACAGAATGTGGGGCGTTGTTTGTAAGATGCTCATAATGGACCTCTGATCTCTGATCTTTGATCAAATCATGGAAACCCTTGGACCTTTGACAGGAAAAGGTTTTCCTGATGCTAGTCGACGCTCTCCGGTGGGATCGTCTTGGATACGAGTTTCCGTCTTTGGATGCCATGGAGGAGAATGGAGTACGGGCAGAGTGGACAGATCCTGTCTTCATCACGCTGTCTTCACCAAGCATGATGTCCATCGCCACAGGTAAGAAGGCTGTGTAACTTGTAAGCTATGTCATGCACGATGATGACTTGCCATTGTTCGTGAGATAACAAAGGGGTACGTGTGCAGAGGATAGAGAAATTAGGCACCTCCCAAAAATTGAAATGGACCAGTCCTAAAGTTACTTAGTGGTCCTACCCCTGGACTTATGGTAGAACCGTCTATTCATGTCACATGATGATTTTGATTTTGCATTTCATTTCCCCCTTTTTAATACTACCTTCCCATTGCAATTTGTAAGTATAATTTTCTGTCGTTAATGTCTGTATCATTCCCTGAAGTATGTGTCTCAGTTTGATCTCTTATATATTTCAAATAGCCAAACGTTTTACTTTAGATAAATCTATGTCTTTTATTGATCCACGACCAGATGTGGGGCAGCAGGTCTACGGATCACAGTAATTGTATTGCTTTTGTTGGCCCTGGCCCATCTGGGAGTACTGCTCTGTTTTGTACTGTACTTATTGCTCTGTATTGTCCTGTAATGTCTGCTGTCCTGGCCAAGTAAATAATAATAATCTCGTGATATAAATGTAGACATATTGAGACAATGTCGTTCTGTTAGCCACTGTATGGATTCAACACTCGCCATGTTTACCTTGTTTGATCCACTGAAGAAAGCTTGAGCGTGTGGGACGCTGTTTGTGACCACGGTCGTTCTTGTGAGGTGTTATCACGAATAACTGGAAAATCATTGAGCAGATTCGGGGAACTTCGACGTGTAATGCTTTTGGTCGTCTAAATAACAATCGTGCAGCGCGCCCGTAATGTTCCCTGTAAAGGCGTTTTTCTATCATGTACGTTTTTTTGGTTGCTTTGTGCACGCGACCCGTTCGTGCGTTTCACTTTCACGGACACAAAAAATGATTCCGTGAACATAACACGCGTGTGCGTCCCGTTCGGCCGTCAAAATCGCCCTGGGAGAGATTTTGACGGATACGCAACGATTGGCGCAAGTGTTGACGCGCATATGGAAAGCGGCTCAACTCTGAAAACCTGAAAGCGTATATCCGACAAATATTATTGAATAAACAAAAGGAACGGACCAGTTCCATTGCACGTATTTATTATATCGATTGGTGTCGACATAGGAGATAGAGATAACAAAAAGATTTGTGTTAGATGTCTTGCTCTGCTTCTAGGTCTGTACGTGGAGAGTCACGGCGTAGTCCACAACCAACCCTTCGATCCAGAGACCGGGGAAATCTCACCGGGTTACCTGGAGGGACTGAACAGCTCCTGGTGGTTTAACGGCGGAGGCCAGCCGATCTGGCTGACAGCCATGGACCAGGGGCTCAAGGCGGGCACCTTCATGTACCCTGGCGGTCAGGTACCTATCAACGGTCGGCAGCCCACCCGCTGGCAGGTGTCGTCCACCCCGGAGAGGAAACGATTCGCCAACTTGACCGACCGCGCGGACGTCATCTTCGACTGGCTGTACGGCAAGGATGACTTGGACCTCGTTTTGTTCCACGTGGAAGTCATCGATAACGCGCTTCACGCGTTTGGATTCACTGCCCTTGACATTGCCAAGAAAGAGGCAGAAAAGGTAAAAGACAGGCCTTATGTTTCATTCAGTTGAGAGTTTTAAGCTCTCAAGATCCCAGTGCCCACCTTCATTAACCAAAACCTCCCATTTTAATTGAAGAAAAGCGTATGTTGTGAGTTATTGACCATTTTTGGCCAAGACGTCGTGTCACTGAGTCTCATGTTTCACTCTGAAAACACATAGCCTAGGCACCATTGTTGTAAACCATGCCATCGAAAACCGCAGAAAATTCTGTCATTAACTTTGGACCAATCGATGCACTAGCAAAACTAGCATAAACATTGTCATGAACAAGGCCATCAACAATATCTCAAAGATTACTACACTCGTTCAACGTCAGCATTACCAGCAGCCCAAAACTTTCCCAGTCAGAAGCTGGTAAGAGAGAATTCAACAGTTTGCTAAATATCAGTTATAAGAATAGGGCATCCTTACTGCTGACACTGCATATAATAAAGCCGCCTTTTGGAAATCATAATTACTGAATATTTCTCCTCGTTTTCATTATTCAGGTCAACGAGTTGATTGATTACATCCTGACGAGAATGAAAGATGAGAGGGTGAAAGTCACCTTGAACTTTCTAATAACGGGTGACCATGGTATGACGATAAATTCAGCTAAGAAAAGAATTTACATCTACGATTACATCAATGAAACCGATGTTGATTTCATCTTCACAGACGTTGGACCATTGTTTCAAATTAAACCGATAGATGGTGCACTGCAGAAGGTAAGACCTCCGTGGTAGTTCGAGCTCCGGCCAAATCCGGATTACTATTTCGTTACAAGAAAAAAAGCAAGCCTGAAGCACTTGTCGCAGACTTTTGTTATCGCCGACCGTAGCCAGGTCACTAGCAAATAACCGGCCACGCACGCAGCTAATGAGCCCTTGAATGAATGGCCATCGTCGTGTTAGGGCCTACTGATCACAATATGGGTCCTGCTAGAAATTTGGGTCCGACGTGTGACGTGTCTGTCTATCCCTGTTACACCTGACAATGTAATTTGACAAGAAATATTAATGAAAGTGATTTCAAACTATTTTCATTTCTTTGGCCGGTAATCTGTATCAGGTAATCGCTTTCAGAAATGAATTTATTCTAAACTTGCGAAATTTCATGTTCAATGCAGCAGGGGTAAGAAGAAATTGTCCCCCACATTTATAGACTGATCCATATCCAAGTGGTCCAGATTAGAACGATTCAGTAGTTATAATCCATTTCAATCAAAATCACTCATCACATCCGTCATTTATATAGAAAACAATTACATTTGCATGTGCCAGGTGTACAGTATTCTTAAGGACGCTCATCCTGCGATGTATGTGTATATGAAAGAAGACTTCCCGGAGAGGTTCCACTTTGCAAACAACCCTCGAAATCTGCCTATCATTGGCTACGTGGATCCTACCTGGGCAGTGATGAAGGTGGGTAAATGTAGTGATGTATTTCGAATTGATGGACTTTTATGCTGAAAACTGTGAATTTGCTCTTACTTGCACGACTGTTAGGTAATTTTTTCCATAAATTTATGGGAAAGTAATTGTTGTGGAACAATGTGCAACAACACGACACTTTAAAGGGCAATGTTAATGTTCGAGCCAGTTTCCAACGGTCATGTGATTTTTGTACATGGATGGCTATTTTCAAAGAGTAGTCACATTGTTCACAAAGCCCCTGCTTAGATCTTTTCCTTTTGTTTTGTTTTTTTTGCCTGCTGCTCTGAACAATTTAGAAAAGAAGGTTTATTGAGATTGGGAAGGCCGCCGATCACGGTTATGACAACGAAGACATGACGATGAAATCTTCCTTCTACGCTCAGGGG